GTATATTATATGTGCTCCCCTTTTGTAAAAATAAAAAGTATAGCCGGGCGGCTATACTCTATCCATTTTTTTATTTACAAATTTATAAATAAACCCAATCCTATACATGTATTTATTAAAAAATAATAATAATAATAATAGTAGTATAGCCGAACGGCTATACTCTGTCATTTTAATATTTTTTAAATAAATAGTATCGCCGCACGGCTATACTCTCTCCTTTTTCCCCTTAGCGGGCCGGCTATACTCTGGCCCTTTTTAATTGTTTAAATAAATAGTATAGCCGCGCGGCTATACTATTTATTTAAACAATTAAAAAGGGCCAGAGTATAGCCGGCCCGCTAAGGGGAAAAAGGAGAGAGTATAGCCGTTCGGCTATACTACTATTATTATTATTATTATTTTTTAATAAATACATGTATAGGATTGGGTTTATTTCTAAATTTGTAAATAAAAAAAGGGATAGAGTATAGCCGCGCGGCTCTTCTCTATCCCTTGTTTTATTTACAAATTTAGAAATAAACCCAATCCTATACATGTATTTATTAAAAAATAATAATAATAATAATAGTAGTATAGCCGAACGGCTATACTCTGTGATTTTAATTTTTTTTATAAATAAATAGTATCGCCGCGCGGCTATATTTTCTCCTTTTTTTCCCATAGCGGGCCGACTATACTCTGTCCCTTTTTAATTGTTTAAATAAATAGTCTAGCCGGTCGGCTGTACTCTGTAGATATTTTAAATTTATTTATTAAATTGTATAGCCGCACGGCCATACTGTAATTTTAGTTTTAAAATAGTATAGCCGGCCGGCTAAACTCTGTCCCTTTTAAATTTTATTGCTAAATAGTATAGTCACGCGGCTATACTATTTGCCTCCCGTTTTGTTGGAATAAATAGTATAGCCGCGCGACTATACTCTATCCCTTTTTTTATTTACAAATTTATAAATAAACCCAATCCTAGACATGTATTTATAAAAAAATCCAAGCACTATTTAAACATATAAACACACCCAAAATCAACCTCAAAGTCAACTTTTTTGGTGTGTTTATAAATGTGTTTTGAGTGTGTGTAGTGATGGATTTTGGGTGTGTTTATATGTTTAAATAGTGCTTGGATTTTTTTATAATTTCAACCCTCATTTTGGGTGTTTTAGTGAAACTCCCATTTTTATTTCATTCGATTGCAATGAAAATACGTCAACATTTAAAAAAAAATTCCTTTTTTTTCTGTCGGAAAAAAAAAGTTAAATAAAAACAATTCCCATCTTCGCATTGCACACCATTTCTATCCCCAACCCCAATCCACGTGAGTGATGGGTAGGATCTTAGCAAACGCCCAAACCGAAAGCTCTGTCGCTCTGTCTATGTCTCTCTCTCTCTCTCTCGTCCCTTCACCTCCCTCCGCCCTTGCCAACACTTCTCGTATCTAATTCCTTCTCCCTAATTTCCCTTCCCAACTTTTCCTTTTTAAGTTTCCCGGGAAACAAACAGAAAGATTCGAGAACCCTTTCTTTGCGGTTTCCTATTTCCCTAGAATTTCTCTTTTCGTTTTCCCCTCCCAATCCCGAAATCCCTAATTCCGACGTCCTTCTCTATTTTTCTTCTTCAGCTTTTTCATAAAGCATCAATTTTTCGCGTATCATTTTCTTTCTTTATGAATCCGTTTATTGTAAACTTTGATCCCACCAGTATTACATAACTATGACGGAGAGAAATAGCTCGATGGTTTGGAATTAGGGTTTTACTTGTTGAGGGTTGTAAAAGATGCTGCCTTGGGGTGGATTAAGTTGTTGTTTGAGTGCAGCTGCTCTTTACCTTCTTGGCAGGAGCAGTGGCAGGTCAGTGTATGCTCCATTTTTAAAATTGGATCAGCTTTGTTTTAATAAGAGCTTAGTGACCATTAATTACACGCTTTGAAGTTATGAAGCACCTTGTCTTTTGTATTTATAAGTTCTTGGAGAGATTATATTTGTTGAGGGTAACTTCTTTGGTGTTTTGTGATTTCACAGGGATGCGGAAATTCTTAAATCGGCCACTCGGATTAATCAGTTGAAGGAATTGGGTATGCCCCTTTTTCTGAAATTGAAAGACCGGTTTTTGTTTTTTCTTTTCTTTTTTGGCGCCTTTTTTGAAAGCCATTGCCTTTTAAATGCATTTTCATGTCGAACATCTGCCTGGGAAAAGATTTATCTGCTAGTGATCGATGCCGTTAGTCTGCTTGGCTTTGTTTCCTAAGTAAGAATTTTTGTCTTCTCTCACTTTTCAGCAAAATTGTTGGATTCCGAGTGCATATTACCATTGGTGGTTGCAATTTCGGGGAGAGTTAGCTCTGAAACCCCCATCACCTGTGAGTTCACTGGTTTACGAGGTGTAGTTGTGGAGGAAACGGTACACAAGTCATAACTCTAAACAATATATGCTTTCATCAGTCATGTTTTTGTTTTCTTTCGTAATTGGTAATTAACTATCTTGTTGATCTTCTTCAGGCAGAACAACACTTTTTGAAACACAATGATGCTGGTTCATGGATACAGGATTCTGCTTTGATGCTTTCAATGAGTAAAGAAGTCCCCTGGTACTTGGTGAGTATTTGTGCTCTCTCTCTCTCTCCTTCACATGAGAGTATGCAACAATGGCGTATTCGTGGTGTGGTCTTCTGAGACTTCCACATGTCCATTCTTGTGTTTGATTGAGTAAATATTATTTTCAGTTCACTTGGAGTTGAAAGTTGAGTATTAGGATATGATCGTGGTTCCTTGTTCTTTTTATCAGGATGATGGAAGTGGTCGTGTGCATGTGGTGGGAGCTCGAGGTGCCACAGGCTTTGTGTTGCCGGTCGCAAGTGAGGTATTTGAAGAGTCAGGGCGGTCCCTCGTACGTGGGACATTAGATTATCTTCAAGGCCTCAAGGTTTGTCTTGTTTAGTAATTATATCTGGCAAAACTAAGTGGGTTCAACTAATATGATAGTTATTTTGTCTCAGATGCTTGGTGTCAAACGAATTGAGAGAGTACTTCCAACAGGCACGTCTTTGAGTGTTGTTGGTGAGGTATGTTGTAGTTTAATATGATACTGTATCCTTTCATATAGAAATAGCTTAAAGCCAACAAATTACAATTGATATTCAGATAATAGACACAGTTTACATTATAGATTTACTGCTTCTACAAGCGTTTTTAGTTTAGTATGGTACCAAAATGTACTTAAGTTATGCATGTATGTAATCCAAACACCTTGATGTTTTCCGAGACTGAGCCTTGTGTCTTAGAAGAACTTGCACTCGTGTAAAACAGCTTTAACCTGTTGTTTAATAAACAAATCGCCCTTGTATTTGCAGCCAGTTCTTTGATTGTGTGCATTGAAATGTTATGATGTCGGTGTACTCAT